TAGTCTTTTCTGCTAGTGTTTTAAAACACTAATTTGAGCAACGTTATTTCGCAATTTCGATCTTTTGTAAACCTGGGGTGATGTATCAAGGTCTAAAGTAACCGTTTTATCAATTTGTGAAAAATCAAGAAAAAAGTGAAAATTTCCCTTCTTGCTACCTTAAGTTACCGGGTAAGTAATATTCACAAAAAAGGGTGTTAAAATCCAACATTATTTTTGTTTTTTTCGTTAGAAATATATTTATATAATTCAAACAAAGTGATTCTGAACAAAACATCTTAGATTAGTGATATTATATCGTTCGGATATTCTTCCATTGTTACTCAATTTCTCACCTCAGGAACTTGTTCAGGATCATGAAGTCAGAATTATACACAAGTATAAACAAAAATGATGGTAAATAACCAAAGTTCGCTATGAAAGAGCTGACAGAAATAACCTAGAAAGGGTTGATTCCTTGTCATACCATTCAGAACGTTATAAACTCACTCCGTGCGAGATCACGCCAGGAGCTGAAAATCCCCCATTGAATAGGGTGTGGCAGTGTGTTCTGAGGATGTGGTGTGTATAATGTTTTTGAAGACTGAATGTAAACGTGTGTGTGTGCCCCAAGTGTCAGTGTAATTAACATAGTGGTGACATAGAAATGAAAATTCACTAACAAAGTGACAACACTAATATGAAGCACCATCAATTCTCCTTTCTAGTCAACTCCCATCCTCCTCGTGACAGGCAACCGTCCATTCTGCTTACCAAAATATTAGCATCACTAACATATGTGGGCGAATGTTAGCTTTGCGTCAATGCAAAGCTAATTTGCTTGACACCTTGCTGAAGTGTCGTGCATTAGCATATTCATTGTTAATTGATTCAAATAGCTTTTTAGACTTCAATACGGAAACTAGAAAAGTTGAGTTGTGCTCTGCCTAGGGAATAATTTAATTTATGACTTTATCATTTTGAGTTGAAAAATATAAATTTTTGCTATTAAAAAATTAATTAATTAATATGAATTATATTTATTATGGAAGTTAGTTGGGTGTTTTTTTTAGCAGTCAGAACTGTGTTTATGGCCCCAGTACATACCAATGGGGTACACTAGTTTTGATAGTTCAGTATAGGAGTATTTTTAAAATCCATTCATGTGTTGTCCTGCATGTAAGATCATTGATTGCTTCCAAATGCTTATTTCACCCGTTACTTTTTCCCCAATTATTATCATCTTTTATTCGTTCACATTGGGCGTCCAATCAAAATGGGGAATCTTGTTTCTATCTATCTGCCGTCAAACGTCATTTCTCGGACATGCCCGGACCATGAATTACAAGTTGATACAAACAACATATGCATGTTGATTACCCGTAGTTTTTTGTTTTGACCAATTGGTGGTAATTTTAGCTCTCCATCTCTCATGTTGGTGATATTTTTATCTGTTCTTAAACTTGATTTTGTACTTTGACTTGATTTGTTCAAAGTACGTACAATATCAAGACATTTTGATGACTTTTGGCTGACTTGGCAGCCATTGCTTTCATCTGCAATTGCAGTTGTTTTCTTGTACATATATCCTCCCTTTTCTTATTGATATCTGGTGTTTAGTTCATATGGGATAACTTTGAAAAAGTACCAACAGGGGCTATGTCATTCAATGATATTTTTGTGAGTCGGTTGACTTTTTATAAGGGGTTCTGTGTCATGCTTATGATGGGTCTCTCTCAAAATTGATAGAAATTGCCTGGTCATTGAACTATTTTTCCCATTTTTTTCAGTTTTTATCTGATCATGTTGATACAAATGTGCTGTTCAAAGGTGATGACCAGTGTCAACGACTGATAGTAGAAGCTCTTAAATATCATTTACTGCCTGAACGAAGAGCCTCATTGCAGTGTCAACGAACTAAACCACGGAAATCTACAGTGGGCTCACTTTATGCCGTAGGTGGCATGGATAATACTAAAGGTGAGTACGCTTATATATAATCCCATGACATTTTTTTTTTTCTTAGCTTGATGTCAGCAGACATCAGCAATGACAGCCTGCATCAATCTGAGCCATAGGCGAGAATTGATGCTACTTCTTAGGCGGTATACCGGTAATCATGAATGTCTGTTGACGTCACCCTAAGAGAAAATATCATGGGATTGTATATTTAGCATATGTTTAATTTCATCGAAAACAAAATCGTTTAATGGTGGGTATAGACAGTGGAACTATTGCTGCTCATTCATGACGTTTGCTTCAAATTTGTATTTTTGAAAAAAATGGCTTGTAATTGGGAGGACATGATTTTGTAGCTTGATCATAGTAATCGATAATATGATACTGTAAAAGGGTTAATTATTCACCTGGTTTTAATTTCGCTGACTGGAAAATGCGCTAAATTAAAACCCAGTGAACATGTAAAATTCAGCATAGAAAACATTATCTAAATGATGAAACCGTGAGTTTAAAACCCACTGGATATGCCTGAAATGCTAAATCAGTGAAATTTAAACCTAGTGAAAATTAGTCATTTTACAGTATTATATTTATTCACCGATTTTTGAACAAGTCTAATAGTACCTAAACTAGTCTGTTGGAACTTATTTGATGCAGAAAAAATAGATTAAATAAATTACTGGAAAAAGTGAATGTGTTGCAATGGAAGCTTGCGAAATCAAACGTGATGCACCAAGAGAGGTCACATGGAACATCGTTCTATTTCTTTTTATGTTTACTACCATTGCCTGTCTCTTATTCTCTAGTGCATTTGCTTGAACCGATTATTTTTCTATGTATTGCCAGGTGCTACAAGTATAGAGAAATATGATTTGAGGACAAATAGCTGGACACAAGTTGCCAATATGTGTGGAAGAAGACTTCAGTTTGGTGTAGCTGTATTAGATGATAAGCTTTATGTTGTTGGTGGACGGGATGGTTTGAAGACTCTCAACACAGTAGAGTGTTATAATCCAAAAACTAAAAGCTGGACAATGATGCCAGCAATGTCAACACATAGACATGGCCTTGGTAAGATATTGTCCATGTTTGGAATATATATTGCATCAGATTTATTATCAGATATCAAATATTCTGTCAGCCTAAACCTGCATCATTGTGATGTTGATTGGGAACAAAAAATGATGCAATGTTTCTGCAGTTATGGAATTTTTAAGTAAGAACAAAAGGAATAATTTATTCATGTTTAATCATATTGATATTAATTTATTTATTAATGTCTCTGTGTAGAGTGACACACATGTGTATATAGCAGGGTTACAACATTCTATGCTATGCACTAATCAGGTTTGAGAATTAAAATGAGCTGAGTCTGCATAACCTGAATTAAAATCCCATTTCAAAAAAACAACGGTTACACTTTACAATTCGAACACGTTCTGATTCCCAGTTGCTGATC